AGTCAGAATTGAAAAAATTGTCAGAATTGCTTGATATGAACTCACAATCCTGAAAAATAAAGCCAGAATTGCGAGAAAAAGTCAGAATTGTGAGAAAAGTCACAATTGGGAAAAAATAGTCAGAATTGTGAGAAAAGTCAGAATTGCGAGAAAAGTCAGAATTGCGAGAAAAATCTGAATTGTGAGAAAAGTCAGAATTGCGAAAAAATAGTCAGAATTGCGAGAAAAGTCAGAATTGCGAGAAAAGTCAGAATTGCGAAATAGTCATAATTGTGAGAAAAGTCAGAATTGCGAGAAAAGTCAGAATTGTGAAAAAATAGTCAGAATTGTGAAAAAATAGTCAGAATTGCGAGAAAAGTCAGAATTGCGAAAAAATAGTCAGAATTGCGAGAAAAGTCAGAATTGTGAGAAAAATCAGAATTGCGAAAAAATAGAATTGCGAGAAAATTCAGAATTGCTTGATATGAACTCACAATCCTGAAAAATAAAGCCAGAATTGCTAAAAAATAGTCAGAATTGCGAGAAAAGTCAGAATTGCGAGAAAAATCAGAATTGCGAAAAAATAGTCAGAATTGCGAGAAAAGTCAGAATTGTGAGAAAAGTCAGAATTGCGAAAAAATAGTCAGAATTGTGAGAAAAGTCAGAATTGTGAGAAAAGTCAGAATTGTGAGAAAAGTTAGAATTGCGAAAAAATAGTCAGAATTGCGAGAAAAGTCAGAAGTGTGAGAAAAGTCAGAATTGTGGAAAAAAAAAAAAAAAAGTCAGAATTGTGAGAAAAAAGTCAGAATTGGAAGATATAAACTTGCAATTCCGAGAAAAAAATTGCAATTATTAGAAATAAAGTCATGATTGCGAGAAAAGTCAGAATTGTGAGAAAAAAAGTTAGAATTGCAAGATATAAACTTACAATTTTGCTAAATAAAATCACAATTATATTAGAAATAAGGTCAGAATTGCGAGAAAAGTCAAAATTGCAAGAAAAAAGTCAGAATTGTGAGAAAAGTCAGAATTGCAAGAAAAAAGTCAGAATTGGAAGATATAAACTCGCAATTCCGAGAAATAAAATTGTAATTATTAGAAATAAAGTCATGATTGCGAGAAAAGTCAGAATTGTGAGAAAAAAAGTCAGAATTGCGAGAAAAAAGTCAGAATTGCAAGAAAAAGTCAGAATTGCGAGATATAAACATGCATTTCTGACTTTTTTCTCAGAATTGTAATTCACAATTCTGACATTATAACACGCAATTGTGAGAAAAAAGTTGCAGTTACCTTATTTTTTATTGAGTGGCGGAAATGGGCTTTCATAGTTTTGAGCTCTGATTTGCTACATAACGTCTTCTTTCAGACGAGTGAACTGAAAACATCTGACACACACGCTGAAGTGTTTGTTTTATTCGGAGACAGTGAATGTAGCAGTAGTGTGTGTGTGTGTGTGTGTGTGTGTGCAGTGCGCGAGATGAACCCGAGTGTGGCGGCGATCTCGGCGCTGGCGGTTCTCAGCATTCTGCTCATCATTCTGCTGGTGCTCTTCCTTCTGGTGCTGCGCAAGAAACACATGGAGCTGAGCCGGTGAGCAACATCTCACGCTAACGAGCTTCTCAGCCCGTTAGTGATCAGACTGATGGATGAAAATACACCACCAGTCCAAAGTTTCTGAACAGTATTAAAGAAGTCTCTTCTGCTCACCAAGCATGCATTTATTTGATCCAAAGTACAGCAAAAAGAGTAATATTGTGAAATATTTTTATTATTTAAAATAACTGCTTTCAATTTTAATATATCTTAAAATGCAATTTATTTCTGTGATCAAAGCTGAATTTTCAGCATTCAGCAAGCCAGTTTGGAGCATGGGAGCATCAGCTAGTAGAACCTAATAAATGTCTAGTCATCCAGCTAGTCAACCGGCTACAATTCAACTCTGAAACCAAGCAAATATAAAATTTGATTATTTCACTAATAGATTGGGGGAACAGTTGCTCCACACATAGATTCAATGAAAAACATCAGCTGAACGTACACTACCGTTCAAAAGTTTGGGACGGTAAGATTTCTTGATGTTTTTGAAAGTCTCTCATGCTCACCAAAGCTGTATTTATGTGATCAAAAATACATTAAAAACAGTTATATTGTGAAATATTATTACAATTTTAAACAACTGTTTTCTATTTGAATATATCTTAAAATGCAATTTATTTCTGTGATCAAAGCTGAATTTTCAGCATTCAGCAAGCCAGTTTGGATTGATGAAACTAGTGCTACTTTTAAGTCAATTTTCTGAGCTTTCTGTCGATTTCAGGGAGTGCGGCGCTGAAACCTTCGTGAATTTCGCCTCTTTCGAGCGAGACGGGAAGCTGCCGTATAACTGGTAGGAGCTCCTGCGTTTCTCGCTGTCAATCAATCACACACACCCTCACACACTCACACACACACACACACACACCACACACACACACACTCTCACACACACACACACACACACACACACACACAGGAAGTGAGCGTGTAATTGTTGGTGTCGACTCCAGAAGCATCGGTTCTGATGTTTGTGATCACAGCCGTCGCTCACACACACACGATTAATATAAGAGCTTAAAGAGGGTCAGTAAAGGCAGATTTTGGCCTGGTAATGAAGTCAAATGATGTTTTTTCTGTCACTTTCTGCTGAGATGTTTAGAGCACGACTCGTGAAGCAACGGAAACATGACTTTGTGTCCTATTTTTAATTTAAAATTCAGTTCAGTAAAATTAAGTTTATAAAATGTAATCATTTCTAAAATATAAATAATATAAATTATATGTATAGAGAGAGAGAGAGAGAGCGGTAAAAAATATAAATTATTAATTTAAAAGCATTATTTATTATTATAAATATATATCATATAAATTAATATATAAATAAAATTATTTAAAAAGGAAAAATAATCAAATGTATTTAAAGCTTAATTATAGTTCAGCTCAGTATAATTTAGTTCATAAAAATGAACTAAATTATAGTTCATACATAATTTATGAAATATAAATTATACAAATTATAATATATATATATAGACAGAAAAAGAAATATCTAATATGTATACTAATTCTAAATTAATACATAATAAAATTATTTTAAAATGTAAACATAATAAAAATGTAAAATTATCAAAGTATAATTAAGTTTGTACAATATATACATAGATATATATATATAGAGAGAGAGAGAGAGATCTACATCATGTTAATACATATTTATTATAAACTAATATATAAATGAAATGATTTAAAATGTAAAAAAAATACATTTAAGATTATTAAAATTCAGTTCAGTAGAATTGACTTCGAGTAAGCTGTTTTTTAGAATAGCACAAGAGTTTTAGATTTGTAGGGATGGTATTAATTCATGTTTTCTGAGAAATGTATCGAGTTTTTGCTTAAAACAGGAACAAATATGTGCCAGTGAGGTCAGAAAAATGATCTTGTTTTCCCATCGAATGAAGGTGATTTTTCTGACCCCACTGGCACATATTTGTTCTCGTTTCATGCAAAAACTCGCTTCGTTTTGATGCATTTTTCCTTAAACCATATTTTAAGTCTTCGAATAACTGTATCATGCTTTCAGAATGTTTAGATGTTTGTTCTGGAAAATGATAAAGACGCTGAGGTTTTGCATCAGCTTCGTGATCGATGCATTAGAAGCAGAGAGGGTCTGGGTTGATTTGTGATTTCGGTGTGTTTCGGTGTTAATATCCGGCGTTAGCAATCAGATTCACACATCATGAAGATGCCAAAGACACTGACTGCATGACGCGATCATTAACCTGTCGGACACTAATGAAATATGCTCAATCATCTGTGTGTGTCACTATTACTAATGGAGCACCATGTTTTGTCCCCAACTTTTTGCCCTTGGTCTTTTTTTATGTCTTTTGCTTTCTGTGGGCTTCAGGCGCAGGAGTCTCTTTGCGTTCCTCACGCTTCTGCCATCCTGCCTTTGGACTGACTATCTTTTGGCCTTTTATATTAATCCGTGGTAAGTAGCAGCGCGGCGTCCGGCGGCCGACGGACAGACAAACACACACAGACTCCACATAGCTGCAGTGCATTATGGGTAACGGATCAGAGGCCGGATCTGCATATGTGCTCTTGTCTGTGTTTAACAGCGTCTCGACGCATGACACTAACGCATGGCGCTCGCTCTCACGGCTGCATGCTTGCTCCAGATCTTCGATTCTGAGTCGGACTGAATGCAGATTTTCACTCGACAGGCTTGAGCCGATTTGCTTGGTTCTTCTTCTTCCGTTAGATATTCCAGGTTTGATACGAGCTGAGCCGTCGGTCTCCGCAGAAAATAATCTCATTACGCTGTTTGTGCTAATGTAAAAACAAAAGTCATGTATACAGTAAGTGAAGTGAACTGGAAAATGCATTAACAATGCATTAATACAGCATATTTTTCTTAAATATATACAGTACATGCATGTGTTTGTATTTATATATACATAATAAACATACACAGTACACACTCGTATATTATGTAAACAAAAACTTTTATTTTGGATGCAATTAATCGCGATTAATAGTTTGACAGCACTAATATATATATATATATATATATATATATATATTATAGATATTATATATATTCTAAACTAATATATAAATAAAACTTACACATTTTTTCTGTAGAACGGTTAATAAAAGCCCTTGATTAATGCTTTAGATGCTCCAGAATGAGTGAGTGTGAGTTATTATCTGTGGTTTCAGACACTGAAGCTCCGTCGGCCTGGAAATGCATGTTTAGTTTGTAGGATTAGAAGAGTGTTTATTAGCAGAGATGCAGTTTGTTGTGTTCTGATGAGGTTTGATCTCAGTTCAGCGACACGTCTGTCTGTGTTTCACCTGCAGGAGCAAAACGGCGCTGAAGAAGAGGAAACTAACCAGGTAAACCCATCCGTTGATGTGATGGTGTGAGTTTACTAGGGATGCAACGATATCACAATCTCACGATAATATCGCGATATGAAGGCCACAATACGGTATTTATTGCGATATTTAAAAAAAAAAAAAATGTGACCCTGGACCACAAAACCAGTCTTAAGTGTCAGTTTTTCAAAATTGAGATTTATGCATCATCTGAAAGAAGCTGAATAAATAAGGTTTCCATTGATGTATGGTTTGTTAGGATAGGACAATATTTGAAAATCTGGAATCTGAGGGTGCAAAAAAATCTAAATATTGAGAAAATCGTCTTTAAAGTTGTTCAAATGAAGTTCTTAGCAATGCATATTACTAATCAAAAATTAAGTTTTGATATATTTATTTGATATATTCCTACTACGGTAGGAAACTTACAAAATATCTTCATGGAACATGATCTTTACTTAATATCCTAATGATTTTTGGCATAAAAGAAAAATCTATAATTTTGACCCATACAATGTATTGTTGGCTATTGCTACAAATATACCCCAGCGACTTAAGACTGCTTTTGTTCTGCAGGGTCACAGATGAAGAATTGGGAAAAAATGAACATTTTGTACATTTTAAAGTTAAATAATTCAATCTAATGCACTTTGAGAGTTCAAAATTAAGAGCTGCAACCCTTGTTCTTAACTAAGCAACTTAAGTCAGAAAAAAGTCAGTGAATTGACTTGTACCTGAACTTTAAAGCGGACTTAACCCTCTTTTTATTTGTGATATACTGTCTCAGTCTAAATTACACTCACGCTGGTGTTTTAGGAAGCCAAATGAATTAGAATAGAATAATAATAACAACAATGACAGCAGTAGCCATATAACAATTGCACTGTAAAATAAATGAAAATGTATATTTTATAGGTATATTATTTTTGCTTTACACTACAGTAGGGAAATTAATTACAATTCTTCTTTCCTAATTTCTACACTTGAAAGAGATATTTTGAATGTTTAATTGTGTTTAAACCGCTAGCTGTCAGCAATTCGTACTGCACTTAAAGCTTTTAATTTGACGGAAAACTCCAGCTTCAGTGAAAACATGTTTACAAAAACACGTCTCACTACTACTACACTAATACTGTGGCAAAAACGTTTCATATCGTCATGTGACCACGATAATATCGAGACAGTTTTGCTATCGCGATATCTCGATATTGATAGTATCGTTACATCCCTAGAGTTGACTGTATTGATTTTGTTTCTCTGTGATGTGACGATGTGTGTGTCTTCAGTCCCGTTCAGCTCAGTGATTTCGATGCTTACATCAAAGACATGAGCAAAGATTCGGCGTACAAGTTCTCGCTGCAGTTCGAGGTAAAACACACTCGCTGCAGAACACGTGAACACTCGTCTGTCGGCGTCAGGCGTGCGATTGATCTGTTTGCTTTGTGCTTCTGTCAGGAGCTGAAGAGCATCGGTCTGGATCTGTCTCATGAAGCGGCCGATCTGCCTGTCAACAGACCCAAGAACCGCTACACCAACATCCTGCCCTGTGAGTGGCCGGCCAGCCAAGCCCCGCCCACTGTAGTCATAGCAACACTGTTCCGATTGGCCCACTTTCACAGTTCAACGCAGGGTTATCATAAGCAATGCTTCCATCCAAAGTTACGAATTTAACTTGTGCGCAAAATTGGAATATTGCATAAAACATTTGCGACTAAAGCACCATTTCCATCCAGGGAGTTGAAGAGAACAAAATCGTCACTTCCTGATTAACTTACCGGATAAGAAATTTATCCTGCTTAGTTAAGCGCTTAAGGTTTTTATGCGCATTTTTAGAATTTATGTGCATCTTAGCATTTCCATCCAGCAGTTTTTTTATGCGAAATCCCAAAATGCGCATAAAAATAGGTGGATGGAAACATCAATAGTTAAACTAAAACTATTAAAAATGTCGTTCTTTGAAATTAAATAACATTTAAAATAAACTTGATGTTGAATTGATTAAAACTAAAGTAAAGATTAATAAATGTGACAAACGAGCGATGAGTAATGCTCTAGAGCCATCTGGTCATTTTTTATTTTAAAAGTGTTTGTTTTCCAGTATATGGTGGATGGTTTGCTGAGCTCTTTTTCACTAGTTTTTATTCATATTTCTGTTTTTAGTATTAAGGGTAATTTATAGGGGTGTAACGGTACATGTATTCATACCGAAAATTTTCAGTTCAGTTTCGCGAAATATTAGAATATCACTATATATACTCATATTTTACTTTACCTGTTAGTTATATCTTAATTATTTAATGTATGTTTAAATAAATCTTTTATGAAACAAGTTATGACAGCCACTGTGTAAATGATTATATTTCAACGAGAAATAGAAATTGTATAATTTAGAAGTTAATTTAAAAACTGCATCGAGTACAATTTACATGTTTGCATACAATTTTTTTTATTTGAGGGTTGATTATTAAAAATAAATAGCAGCCGAATTTAAGTTTGGGCTCTGTTATTAATTGTAACCTTATAGTAATGTAAAAGGTAATGTAAGTTTTGATATATTTACGGTAGGAAATTTACAAAATATCTTCATGGAACATGATCTTTACTTAATATCCTAATGATTTTTGGCATAAAAGAAAAATGGATAATTTTGACCCATACAATGTATTGTTGGCTATTGCTACAAATATACCTGTGCTACTTATGACTGCTTTTGTGCTCCAGGGTCACATATAGGTTATTCCTAAAGATCAGCTTCTCTGGAGAGTTAGTGATTATTATATTCATCCTGAATGTTTGTTTGGTCACAGATGATTTCAGTCGAGTGAAGCTGATCTCTCTGCACAACGATGAAGGCTCTGATTACATCAATGCAAACTTTATTCCTGTGAGTAGCTCATCAGTATCAGCGACTAGAGAAGAGTTGTTCACAGGTTATGGGGTGTCTCATTTGTGTGGTGGTGTGTGTTCAGGGTTATAACTCTCCGCACGAGTTCATCGCCATGCAGGGGCCGCTGCCCGAGACCAGGAACGATTTCTGGAAGATGGTCCTGCAGCAGAAGTCTCACATCATCGTCATGCTGACCCAGTGTAACGAGCGCAGGAGGGTCAGTTCCCACGGCAACCGCTCCGTTACGGCTGTGACATCACACAGAGATGGCCAGATGTTAACGAGAGCATGTGCTTCCCGTGCAGGTGAAGTGTGACCACTACTGGCCGTTCACCGAGGAGCCTGTTGCATACGGAGAGATTACGGTCGAGATGCTGTCGGAGACCGATTCGCCCGAGTGGACCGTCAGAAACTTCAGACTGGGATACGTGAGGAACACATAACACAACCAGCCATAACCCTGGATGAGTGGATGGATGGATGAATGAATGAATGGAGGGATGAATGATAGATAGGTGGGTGGATAGATGTATGGACAAATGGATGGATGATTGATGTATAAATGGATGGATGGATGGATGATAGATGGGTCAGTGGATGGATGGAGAAATGAATAGATGCATGAATAATAGATAGGTGGATGGATGATGGATGGATGGGTGGGTGGATGGATGGATGATGGATAAATGGATGGATAAATGGATGGATGATGGGTGGGTGGATGGATGGATGGATAAATGGAGTGATGGGTGGGTGGATGAATGAATGGAGGGATGAATGATAGATAGGTGGATGGATAGATGGGTGAATGTATGGATAAATACA